ATTTATATTTTCATTTAATTGATTTAAATTTGAATTTAAATTATTTATATTTAAATTATTAAAAATATTATTTAAATAAATTGTTTGATTAATAAATGGATAAATTGATTGTAAATATAAATCATTAACATTATCAGCAAATATTTTAACTATATTTCCACCTATTTTTAGTAATTTATAAATTAATTAAAAAATTAAAAAAATTAAAAATTAAATATTTTTTAATAAAAAAAAATAAAAACAAACCCTTTGAAATATCATTTGCAGAATTTAAAAAAGTTTCAAAAGTTTTAGAAATAGTTTCAAATGTTTTTGAAATAACTTGACCACTTCCAATTCCATAAGAAACTGTAAAAATAATTCCAATTAAACTTCCAATTACAATTAAAAATATTAAAAATGAATAAATTATAATGATAAACATTTGATTACTATTTGTATATTCCTTTTTAGTAGATGATGATCTAACACAACATAATCTTCTAATAATATAAAATATTACAAATGTTATTGTAATTAAAATACCAATTAATATTATAACTCCGCACATAATAAGTGCGAACTATTGTAATCATTTAAATATATTATTAAATATTTACTATTTAAGTAATAATAAAAATAAAACATACATATGAATATCTAACCCAAGAACATAAATCTAAATTATTTGGAGTTTCACTTTGAACAGATTTAAAATCACAATTTTTAAACCAATCTTGCCAAGTAGAGACATCACCATTATTATTAGTATTATTATTTGATGATGATTGTTGAATAGTAGTATAATAATCCAATGATGATGTTAATAATTCCATACTTGAAATAAATAAATTATTAGTAAATTCATGATAATGATGATGGAAAGATGATGATGAAATTAATTGATTTTCATATTGTTGTTCTTCATGACCATTAGTGAATGTTATTGTTAATAATACTAATACTACTACTAATAACAATAAAACAGTCAATGATATTCTTGATAATGTTGGTGATATCATTGTGTGGTTGAATGGT